CTCTTTACACGCTTCCCGGCCAATCAGGAAGCCGGGCGGCGTGTAATGACTCGCCACCTGGCTTCCTGATTAGCCGGGAAGCGTGTAAAGAGTGGGAGTGACAGGCTGCACACACTAAGGTAAGGTAACCTTACCTCACGAGGCCAGCTTCCTGATTGGGCAGCTTCCCGACCAATCAGGAAGCCAGGCAGCGCATCATTACATGCTGCCCGGCTTCCTGATTGGTCGGGAAGTCAGCTCCATGCTCTCTCATCACAAGTGACGAGAGAGCATGGAGCCGCTTCCCGGTCAACCGCGAAAGCGGGCAGCGTGTAATGACGCGCTGCACAGCTTCCCCACACCTGAAGTACTCGTGCTAGGCATCGGAGCATTTGGGCGAGTACGAATACTTGCCCAAATACTCGGAATCGGCACCGATATCTATACTAGTATCGGTGCATCCCTAGTTTTAATACTTCCTTACTCTGTCCAGAACAAAAGAATTTTGGCTATAGATATACATTGAGGTCAATGATTTACCCATTACATGTGTCCCAAGGTTTTTAGACAAGCCAAAAATTGTCACCAGCAATTCTGTGCCTTAAGACGCATACAAATCCAGCTAATAATACAATGCGCCTTTCATACAGCGCACTTACTACACTGCAGTGAACTGTTGCTCAGCATATCCGTTGCTGCTTCTGCTGTACGACCTTTGATTGGGGGTGACTGTATGGAGTCAAAGTTTGGTGATGACTGCGCGTCTCTACAATGGCCCTTCTGATGCTGGGAGAACAGCTTGGTGTTGGAGCTGACAAAGTCACAGTGAACACAATGGAAAGGAAAATGGTTACGAAAGTGTCGGGACATCTCCTCCCGGTTGGGGAAAATCAGGCGGCAGCTGCGATGAGAACAAGTCACTGCAGTCACTTTATGTTCCCTCCTTAGATGAGACTGGAACCTTTTGAGGTCCTGAGCGGTGAACGAGCAGCCCCTCTGCCAGCATCTGAAGTCCTGGGGTGCTGGGGGGTGACTTTTAAAATGTTCCTTTAGTTCACTGGGTGACGTGAATTGATTTTGACAAATGGGACATGAGAGGCTGTCCTTTTTCCCTTGACAGGAGCCATCGTCAAGCCTGATGGATATTTGGTCTGCTAAGATCACGTCTGAATTGCTTTGAGCGTGACCGTGAAGTTCCGGCATACCCGACTCTGCAAGCTGAGAGAAGTCCTGAGACAACAAGGTGGCTTCAGCCAAGATGGCAGCAGATTTACCTGGACAGAAAGACAGTCACTGTCAGTAAAACACGTAGTGATCACAACACCCCCGCTCCAGAATTCTCGTGCATGAATCTAAGGTGGTTATTTAAAAGGCAATTTTTAGATATACAAGCAGAGAAGCACAGTAAAGCCTTGTAAGAAGGTATTGGGATGCCTCATCATCATGCATACCAAAAATAAGAGGATTACTCCTCATTTCAGGGCAGTGGGCGGAGCCATGCCAATCAGTGCTTTATGCCCCATATCTATGCACTACAAGGATCCTAAAAAAGATGCCTGAACTGTTAGTAGCTCAGTGCAAGGACTGCCTTTGCTTGTGAGCTCCCTCTTCTGGCCAATATACATATCTGTGCATTGTATACAGCAACAAAAGCTTGTGCAATGAGCAGAAAATATTAAAGTAAAAAAAAAAATAATTCACTAAAATGCCCAAATAAAAGTTTTTTGGGGTAGTTAGGTTTACAGGAAAACAGCATTCCGTCTAATTTTTATATTTCTTGGCACTAGTAGAAATCCCTGATCACGGGAAGGAGACTGCAGAGAATGACCCTTGCGTTCTGTCTTGAAGCAGTGGTCTCCCTGTAGTAGTTTGAAAAGCCCCCACTGCTGACTCAAAGCTAGATTTAGCAAATCGGGAAGCAACATGGGATTTGCTGATTGGAGGGCACCAGCTTTGACTGAGCAGACAGAATGCTGGACCACTGCAGACAAGTTTATTTCAAAAGTACAACAGAACCCCTAAAACCTGAA